ACACACACACACACACACACACACACATCATCTTAGGAACATGCCTGCAGGGGTAATTGCATTATCTCTTATCTGTCAGAGATGTTGACTGGTAGATCAAAGGTTCCCAGACCTCAACACAAAACAAAGACATCTTCCAGGATATCCTATGATATCTATTGGAAAACAAGAAGGTATCACATTCCTAGAATTCTGAGGCCTTTGGTCACTCCCTATTCATTAGCATACTGCTTCCTGGAGTTGTTTTCTGCAGAACAGATGGTCAAGCCAAGATAGGTGGTCCTGCTGTTTTTACAAGGAGTTGCTGCTCCTGCTTTGCAGGTTAGCCAGGCCCTGACATCTCTGTACATTCCTTTAAGGCCCTGTGGCTATTAGAACATAGAACGGGTCACAGTAGTCTAACAAACGTAATGTGGGTACAAATGTGGCTGGTCTTTGATCGCACCTGGAATCCCGAGTCCAGAATCCAGCTTTGATGTACTCAGAGCAGCTGCGAAACTGCTGGGATGTGAAATTGCTTTTCACATCTAATCTCTCTCACAACTGCTTCCTCAGACAAGAACTGGACCAGTGGTCAGAGGCCACCACTTGACAGCTAGTTGGCCTTAGTGTAGGAGCTTGTGTGTTGTGATGATGCTGGAAGCTACATCATAGATACCTGAGATCCCAGCAGGTTCAACCATGTGAACCGAGACCAATTAGGTCATCTCTTTCTGAGTATCCACTTGTGAAAGCCCTGTGAATCTGGATGGAATATGGGCTGACACAGTGCTGCAAGGCGGACCCCCTTGAAACGTCCTCAGAATGTATGATGGCCTTGACAATGGGCTTAAACATACCCATGATCGCGAAGATGATGCAGGACTGAGTGGTGTTTGGTTCTGTTGTACACGAGATTGCCTAGACTTGGCAGCAGCCAGCGCCACCCCGAGCTGTCAGAGGAGAGGCAGAGTGTGTCCAGGCCTTTTAGAAAATGCTCTTCACTTCTTGTTGGCGTGCGCAGGCTGGAAGGTGCCCTGTTGGAAGAGCAGTGCGGCCTGGAATTGAGCAGCCCGCCTGACAACTCTGGGACGCCCAGGAGCTCGCCGGCTGTCAGGCTGTCTCTAGGAGACCCAAACAAGCTGTCAGCCGGGAGAGCAAGAAGGCAGCCAAGGCAAAGGGAAACACTTGGCACTGGGGACGCCGCCGCAGCCGTGTGTGGACTCTCACCGGCTGCCGTGCTGTGTGACTCAGACCGCAGCTAGTGAAGCCCTTTCTTACTCCGCTCACTGGTTAATTCATTCATCTGTGATGAGACCTTTGCTG